CTCCTGCCCCAGGGGAGCAGAGACGGCCAGGCCACACGCCAGGAAAAACGCCAGGAAGAGCAGGACCCTGGCCGGGATGCACACGAGCAGCGCAAGCCTGCACGCTCCCTCCCAGCGCCACAAACGAGCACACTCAGCTCCTGCTGCATTAGTCACTGCCTAACGAGGAGGGGGAACAAACTCATTAGCTGTGACAGTGTCTTCTAGAAGCTCTGCCGTAGGAGGAGCTGAGTCCTTCTCATCGCTTTGATGAAGGGAAATGGCCCAGATTTTATTTCCAGAGCTAACAACGAAGGAGGCAATCCTACTTGCTCGGCATCTCCGCTAGGGAAGCGCCAAGAGGAGCAAAGCACTTGGGAAAAGCAGGAACCACGAGCCAGCCAAAAAGCCTCTCTCTAAGGTCTGGCAGGAGATAAATTCAGTGCTCAAACAGGACCTGAGAGTCTCCTGCCAGCCAGGCTTGTTTTTTTAAAGACCCCTCAGCTGCACGAAGGGAAGGTGACAGCTCCAGGGAACCGCTAACGCCCTCGCGAGCGGGGAGAGACCGTCTCTGCCCCCCGCATGCAGCTACTCACATGTTGACGGGGCTCTCGGCGGCGAGGGCGACGGCCGAGTCCAGATGCACCTTGCAGGCCCGGCCGTGGACCTGGAGGAACTGGGCTGGGTCCTTTTTCTAAGGGGAGTAGAAAGGCCAAAGGTTTAGGGAAGAGGCATTTCCAAGGGGGGCAGTTCTGTCCGCATGGGGTCGAGGCAGGCAGAGAGGAGCAGGGCACCCGCCCAGGGGCACCCACGGCGCTTCCTGCAGCTGGATGGTGACAGATGCCTGCAGAGAGGGCTGTGGCTCCGTCTTCCTCCCCTTTCCAGCCCCCAAAACTGCAGGAAAGCACCCACGCGATTCCCAAACACCAAAATCAGCACTTCCTACCCTCCACAGAGCAGCCTACCGGGGACTAAATCCTCCCCTGAGGCTCTTCCTACCCCCCTCAACCACAAGCAAAACTCTCTGCGAGACGATATTCCCAGCCTGGGACACGCACGGCCCCCCCAGCCTGCCCCAACCCCGCGAAGGAGCGGGAATGCTGCTGGA